ATTGCATGCCCCCTAATCACAAGTATCATACTCTGCACGCATCGCCGGAAGAACTCCCTTATTGATGTCAATATATGCACTGGAACGATTCTTTTAACCTGAAAAGGTGAGTAACAGAGTGAGCTTTGGAAAGCTCAGTAATACATAACTACCATATGATGCTGAAGAACGTGTAGATATAGATAGACATATATTTCCTTATTGGTTCAGACATCTATAGATTTTTATCATGAGCTGAGGTTCCACTGATATCTCAGATAATAACAAACAATAAGTTTCCAGTTCAAAGAAAAATATTTTGGATGACTGGGTTTAAGAGATCAGGATAGGTTATCTAGTGTGGTCCCTCAAAATCAGTAAAAAGATACAGATCTTTTTAAAACATATTTTTAAAATTCAGAAACCATAGTAATCCCTCCAGCCCAACACATCATAATGTGTAGGTTTCCCGGAACCATACACCCACCGTCACATCCAGTAAGGCCCTGAGCACAAAGCCGAGGAGACTACAAGTATACTTCCTCCAACAATACCCCCCAAATAAAACATTTATCAAAAACCATAGTAATCCCTCCAACCGAACACATCATAATGTGTAGGTTCCCCAGAACCATACACCCTCCGTCACATCGAGTAAGGCCTTGGGCACAAAGCCGAGGAGCCTTCAAGTATTCTTCCTCCAACAATACCACCAAATAAAACATTTTCCGTCCGTAAACAGATATATCAAAAATCAAAACATAATTCAAGTCAGATATCAGAACAGAATCCAGGTCAGATATCAGAACAGAATCCATATCAGGTATCATAATAGAATTCAATTGGAAATCGGATAAAATATTCATGTGATTAGGGAACACATTAGAGTTTCCAGATATTATTCAGAGATATTGGATAGTCTTATCGGGTAGAGAAATACTGATCTTCAGTATATCGATAGAATTACAGAAGTTAAAATCAATATAGGAAGAGTTCATTAACTGACAGAATCATCAATTATTTAGAATGTTATTTGAGCTGACAAGGAAGAAATGAAGGTTCAGGACATTTACAGTCTGTGTCAATCTATCGGATTATCGAAATAACTCAAGCTGAATAACTCCCAGAACTAATGCATGTTAACCAGTCCATTCATTGCCCTTCCAGGTATTCACTCTTTAATTCCAATATTTATTGTCCATAAATCATCTTCTGAGTCATCGCTGAATGGATCTTAAGGAGACGAACATATATTCTAATGTCTTTATTTCATTTCCATGTTTCAACTATATCAGGAAATGTCGGCATAATTGATTTATGGTTCATAACCCATAGATATGATTAATCATGTAAGTTTATCCGATTTTTCAGACTTATCCCAATCACTTACTTAATCCTCAATTATTGAGGTTACTTAGTTCAATTAGTAGTCAAGTCTATCCCGGTTACTTCAGAGTTTTCCAGAGTAATTCCATAATTATCATCGATCCAAACTTGAGGAGACGAAAAAACATTCAAGTGGTACCTATGCCATTCATGTACTGATATAGCACTAGCATTGGTTGACCGACTTAAGTTGCGTTCCATAACTTTTAAGATCAGTACAACATCCATGTTTATTTGGATTTCTTAATTCAGTCCTTTCAGAGCTTGAGGATATCCAATCATTCCAGGTCTTAGTGATATTCTTGATTCATTTCCATTCCAGGGGTATTTTGATCATTTTACAGATCTAGAGTATTTTAATCATTTCCTTCCGTTCGATCTTATTATTTTAATTCAAAATTATCATTTATTTCAGTCATTTCTAACAATTCTGATAAAAGAACACCATCAATAAATTATTCTTCAGGTATTTACTCATTCAGAGTCAACTCGGACTATTTATACCTTTTAAGGGCATTTTTGTAATTTTGTAACCAGATAATTTCGATGTTAAACTCTTAACAAGGATAAATATAATTTGGAGATCCTAAGGTTAATTGCTTTCTCGGATAATCTCTGAACTTGAAATTATTCCTTATCAAACTTCTAGTAATTTGTACAAGCCATCTTGGGTTTAGAGATCAGTTATCCAGATTTTCTAAGCAAAACTAGTATTTTCTATACACATCAGTAGTTTCACCAGATCAATGTCTTTAAAAACTTCTTATCCAACTTCCAGGGTCAATTCTTGTCTTTTTACAACATAGGGTATTTTCGTAATTTTACCTAATCGAAGTATTCTCATAATTTATCATCCAAATACCTTTAATGAGATAAATTATAATTTACATATTCAGGACTGATTCCTTTATCACTTAATCACAGAACTTATAATTCAATAGAGTCTTAATTAATTTATCACTTAAATCGTATTCGGTTTGAGTCCATCCATAATCAAACAAGCATAATAGTCCAACCATATACATACATACAATTTATCCATTATAACCATGTTCCATAAAGCATAAAGAGGTAGTAATGTAATACATTGATTTTCGTGTCATACTGATCAACCATATAAATTCCATTCGAATGCGCTCGATCTTGAAATCAATGTCCAATAATTCCTCAGATATATATCAACAGAAATTCATAAAAAACATAGCTTAATTGCGAAAAACATATCGAATCAGGTGATTAATCAGTGAAAAAAATCTTACCGGGTTTGAATTTGGCGAAACAGACTTCGGAATCGGACTCAAGACGTCAAAAAACATAAAATATGACTTTTCAAAAAATTTAACTTTTGGTCAAAGTTAAAATCAATGGTCAACAAGTTGACTCGGTCAAAGTCAACAGCTAACGGGGTTAACTTGGTCAAAGTCAACAAGTTGACCCAGTGAGTTGACTCAATCGAGTTGACTTAGTGTGAGTTGACTCAACCGAGTTGACTTAGTGTGGGTTGACTCAATCAGGTCAAGCGGGTCGAGCAGGCCCATTCCATGCAGTCCACCAGGCAGTGGGCTTTCCCCACTCTAAGGGGTGTCGCGTGGGGGCGCGTGCAGGGCCGTAGAGGGTCGAAATAATTCCACAAAAATTTCTAAAATTATTTTAAGGGATTTTGAGACACTTACAAATCTCTGTTCACAATTTTGAACGGTAGAGAGCTCGATTCCGAAACGTCAGAAACTTTAGCTTCCTCACCCCCTCACGTGCCGGCGATGACGGAGACAAGAAGGAAACTTGTGGACTCAGAACGATGCAAGGAACACGATGGTGTGGAAGGTGTCGAAAACGGAGCAACGATCGACGATTTTCACGGCGGTGGAGTTTAAAAACTTCAAAATTTTGAGTTGAATTTTTACAACGAAAGGCGACGATTCACGACGAGAGGTTTGATGAGGGGTTTTGTTCTCCGGTCGACAACAAACACGATGGTGGTTTCGGATCGATTAACGATGGCTGGACGGTGAAGAAATCGGAGTTACAAAAGGGGGGTTGACAGGGGAGAGGAAATGGGAAAAACAATCTGGAAAAACCATATTGTTTCGGGGGAGATAGTTTATAATTCAACATATAAGAAAAATGGGTAAATTCAGGGTTGAGTCCCTAAATTTCCTACACTTCCTAAAATAGTCTGTCAACTTTGCGATTTTACATTTTATTCCTCAATTTCTTCCAAAATACCACTTAAATTCAATATTTTATAATTTCTAAAATTTAGCCCCTAAATTGGGGTATGACAGAAAAAAGGTACGATACAGGAAAAGAATAGTACAGTGCAAGGATTAGTACAAGAAAAAGAGCAAGTATAGAAAAAGGAACGGTACAAGTTTAATTGTTATATTTTACAATAAAATTTATAAACATTGTGTGAATTACACTGAATGATTTATAGACAATGAATTATGTTAGTTTGAATTTACATATGAATGATATGTATATCTGTGTGATGAAGATAATATAATAAAGGTTGTTGTCAGCGGGTGGTCGTGTGGCGGTAGACAACAACCAAAGAAACTTGTTTTAAAATAAATCTGATTATAGATGTTACGGTATAAGAAGTTTAATAAAGAAATGTGAAAATATGATAAGAAACTAAGTGGTTATGTATGAGTGTAGTAAAATTTTATGTTATAAAGATTAATCGGTTAAATTTTAAATTAGACATTTTTAAATTATGATATGAAATAGTATTAAACTGCCTAGATGTTGTGCTAGATTAGAAGTGAATTGAAAATTAAAACATTACATTATGATTTTATGCGGTTAAATAGTATGATAATAAATGTTAAATTTGGAGATTTTAAAAAGAAACAAAAATTTTACCGATTTCGAGCAGAAAATGTTATACAAAATCTTTGTGTCATCCTTAACTTGTTGAGAATTCTAGTTATTATCGATGTGCGTAAACCCTTGAAAAGTAAGAAAAAAATAGCATCTGCTGATGGCAGCTTCTGCTGATGGGAGCTTCGTGACAAAGAATAATTTTGTGTTAAATATAACAACCGTAAGCATAACGGTTTTGGGTGCAGAAAAATGTTCTATTCCGTGGATATAACGAATTTGAGAAAGAAAAAAAAAGAGAGAATTCAATTATGTAGGCATTACCGTTTTGAGAATAAAATTTAGTTCCGTGACCATAATGAAAAAGTTATAATTGCCATTAATGATCGAGATAGTGTTGTGCATGAGGATGAGTCTAGAGTTAGTGATGCACACTGATGTATGCCACTAATGATGTGCGTCGATATGTACCACAAATATAAAATTATGGTAAAATTCATAAATAGTGATTATATTTATTAAAATTGTATTATCAGTTTGTAACTAAATGCATTTGCAAGTAATTCTGGTGTAATTTTTTTCCTCAGCTGGTAAAACTATGGTCTTAACATTTTGTAATCATTTGGTAAGTAAAATGCATTGTAAATGAACAATGATTTAACTGTGCTTATCAGGTAATACTATCATTCTTCGTACAGGTACTAACGTATATATTTTGATGCCAACATGCATATATTTTGATGCCTCAAATCTTAGACATTGCAGTAACCTTTAAGATCAATGATAACTCCTCGAGCGAACTGGGCAGACTAGTGTTGGAAATATTCGTCTAAGTCAAAGGGTTTGAAGAGCAAACCATTTTTGTCATCCACAAGCCCTTCAGGAACCTTTACAGGGTAGCCTCCTCTCGGTCTTGCAAAAACTCCGATGCTGTATCTTACCTTGTTTCTTTTGTCACGACCCGATGGTAAGGCACAGACAATCGACCATTTAACCATACCTACAGGAAAATTTTGAAAAACAAAAACAGATTATCAATAAAATATCATAAAAATATGATAATTTAAAATTTTCTGAGGACTACCTTCCAGGGACTGGCCGCTGATGATTATGAAAGAGTTTGCTGATGGCTTTATATTGATCCGTTCGCCATCTTTGGTTCGAATCTCCAATCCATTTACCTCGTTTTGATGCAAAAGAGTTATCCAGCCCTTGTCAGTATGTGGCCTTCCATATTTAATGGCACTCGGGGTATAATTTGTGGCGTCGACGAGTTCATCCGTGTATTTCTTGACGCCAAAACTCTCCAAAACCATCCTCAAAATCGTCTTCTCTAATCCTGCTGCTAATTGTGTAAAGGATTCAGTAGTTTTGCTGTCCAAAGACAGTTCCTCGAGATGTCGATTCGATCCTAACATCTTAAAATATCTTAAAGAGAAAGAATGAGGGTGAGTTGTAGAGCTCAATGTCGTCAAAATATAAAAATAAACAAAGTATTCAAACATACACAATAAATTCGATAACACAGTTAAACCAGAATACAGACACCAACTAGCAAGCTCCTAACTACCTAGCCATCCGCTAAGATTCATAGGATGAATTATTCAAAACCCATAGTCAATCGAACGCCAACCAGAATGTGACATATCGCATAAATTGGAGTGGTGACCGTTAAAATTAAAAGAAAAACAGTTTGTGAGATCCGCATTATGGATACACTACTAGGAGTAGTAAACTACTAAAACAGGGGCAATAGACCACTAAACTTCCTCCTTCACATCCCAACCCATAAAACCAAGTAAATGTCACATGCTTATACAGATTTCAGGACATCGCAAGACATGTGATATATAAATCGAATACTCTTGGGAGCATGTACAATTACAGACAACCATGATATATAAAACATGTTTTTATATATCTCACAAACAATTCAGAAACATTATTGATAATTACTATAATATCGATCAATGTTTAACCAATTTCATATTCAACATATTAATTAATTAAAACTAATATAAAATATCGAAATAATTGTAGCACGAGAAGACACATACAGTATGATAGTTAATCAAAATTATTAGTTATACTCAAACATCTAGGGATGGACCTAAGATTTTATGTTAAGGAATGTGAGCTTTAACATATAAAATTTATGGGGGCAAAAATAATTTTTTGATAGAAAATACATATAAAAAAATTTAAAATATATGATACTGTTAAATTTTTAAAGGGACGATTGCCTCCACCTACCCTTCTATCCATCCATACAAACTTAGCTTCACTTTATTTATGAAACCATCGAGATTGAACAGAAATGATGACGATGGAATTGCGACAAAATTCAAAAACAAAGATGTTACGCGATACGGAAAAAAGGTTTTTAATAGGTTAACACGTAGTGCTATAAATGATACAAGACAGATTACAATTTTGGAATAGATTTGAACTCGAACTTAAATTAGATTCGAATTCTTAGCGAGCTGAAACGAATTACTTGATACCCGACTTGAAACTCGAAAATAATATATTAATATTTATTAGTAATATTAAATTAAATTACTATTTAATATTAGAATTTATATATTGTTTTTTAAAATATAATATATGGTTTTTATGTATTTAAGGTTTAGAATCGAGTTCGAGTTTGATTTTCAATCTAGTTAAGTCTAAGAACATTTCGAGTTCAAGTTTTTTTCAAGCTTGAGTCGAGCTTCAATTCTTTATTATGAGTCAAATTAAAAATTTAAGCTCGCGTGCACTACAACAAAAATGATCAATTACGGCGTTTTTTTAGTTCTATAGTGGTGTTTTTAAGCGCCATAAAGAAGCTTCCCCACGCACAAAAAATGCCGCTATAACGGGCACCACAATCGTTAGCAGCTTTTGTAAATTAAAATCGCTGCAACAGTTTAGGTCATTTAGCGGAATTTGTAAGTAAAATACTGCTATACACCGTGATATTTAGCGACTTTTTTCAACAAACGCTGCAAAAGGTCTAGATCTGTAGCGGCGTTTTTCCTTACAAACGTCGCAAAAGATTAAGTCTATAAATGCGTTTTTATACAAATGCCGCAAAAGATTATATCTATAGCATCAATTTTTCCACAAACACCGGTATAGTCATGACTTATCGTGGCATTTTTTTTCACAATACACCGCTAAATTTAATTGATTTGGCAATTATTACTTTTTATTCTGCACTACTCAAATTTAACATCTAGTACCATTATCTAATCACAACAAACTTGAAATTGAATTACGCACTAATTAAGTTGAAATACTTAACAATAAAAATATATTAAAAATTCCTTTGCAAAGCAATAGAATTCATATAATTATGATATTCGAATTTGAATATAGAGACAAAACAAAAATAGGCCAATAATAGATCAATTACAGTCCTCTTCTCCTACACGACTGCCTTAATTTGCTTGAAGTTGTCACATCTTCTTGTCTGCTACTCATCAAATTAATAATTTATCAATTATTTAAATAAATAATATTTTACAGTTAAATGGAATTGGGTAAGAATTGACGACCAAACATGCAATAAAAGAGCCTTTGACATCCCACTCTATCTGTCTCTATAATGTGTATCCAAAACGGAACTGAAGCACTTGGAAGCCTTAAACCAGACCAAAATAGTCGCTCAAAACTTCTTGTTTTTCTTCTGCTGCTTCTTTTTCATTTCTATTTTCTGCTGCAACCATAGAACATGATGCATTATGCAGTGAAGGACCTTTAAATCAACAATGACCATTTATATATATAAATTGGTAACCTAAACCTACAAAACTTTCTCGGGTTTCTTAGTAATGGACGAATGAAAGCACTGCCATTAAGGGAAGAGCCGATCAAGAAAACATACAAACGCCATTCAACGCAAAATCAAGACGTAGAGGGTAGCTTAACAAAAACATAATTTTTTTGAAAATTAACGATCCAACTAATGCTTGAAAACACGAACGCCATTCAAATTTTAGAATTTAAAAATTACATTGACGGCGATAGAGAGGCCGCGACGGCATTGAATGGTGGCAGTGATATTCGGAACAGCGACGAGATTGTGATGGGCGTGGCGGTGAAGGTCACGACGGCGTCGAACGGCTCCAATCAATAGCATATTCATTGGGTCTTTGCAAACGACGGTGAGCAGAAAATGTTAGGAAAAATAAAAAGTGAGATTGGACTGAAGGGTTAAGGAGATAAAACTTTTAAAATTTGTGGCGTTTTTAAACCCAAACGCCGTTAATGCACTGAACTACTGCAGTGTTTGATATAAAAACGCCACAAACATACCAAACTGTTGCAGTGTTTGTAAAAAAAGCCACTAAAGTGGAACTCTATCGCGACATTTGTTAAGAAAACACCACTATGAATGAACCCTATTGCGACATTTGTATAAAAATGCCACTAAAGTACTATAAAGTTACTATTTTGTGGCGTTTGGATTGTAAACGCCGCTATATGTTTAAAGTTAGTGGCGTTTACTCTCAAAACGCCACAGAACAATTTTGTTGTAGTGGAGCTTTTGTGTTTACCTTCAAATTTTTATTTCGAGTTCGAATCGAACTTTACAATTTAAGCTCGTGAATTTTTAAGTCAAGTTAAACTCAATTTAATACTTTTTGAATCGAGCTCAGCACTACTCCAACTCAATTCGACTCGTCTACAATCCTAACAACAAATACTTTTTTCTTATGGGAATAGTCATTCTCGCCCCTTCTCATTATCAATATTAAGATCATACTTCATACAATAATAGAAAAACAAAGTAAGATAAAATTTTTATTTTAAACTTGAATTTTAAACCGATTGAACAATTAATATAGACAAGTTGTTAAATGATAAAATAACAAGTTAAACCCTTAAACTTCATAAAAGTTTTCAAAAATATATTCAAGATTGCCATTTATTCAATTTAGTCCTATTTTAAAAATTAAAGCAAATAAAAATTCTAAATTATCAAGAGTAAAATATCAGTAGGTAACGGCAGGGACTTTACTAAAAACGAACTCAAAGTTCGATGATTGTATTACAAGTTTCAAAAGTTGTGTTACTAAAATGCAAGCACTCTAAAAGTTCAGGGGCTATTTATATGCTTTACCCTAAGTTTATTTATCCAATTGCATTTTAACACCCAAGGGAATCCAACTTGGGTCTCAAGGATAACCTGTGCATGCCTTAATCACCGAGCTTATTCTCATACTTGTTATTGAGATAGTACATATGTTATATTACTTCTTCAAGTTTAGGTCAAAAAATTAATAACTTAATTAGATTTGAACCCAAAATGAATGAGTAATCAAGCAAGCATTAACCAATAAGCCAAATATAATATTTAGAAATCAATTATAATATTATATATATTATATATTATAGTTAAAAAAATAAAACGGAGAGAACTTACATCTACGCCAATTGAGAATATGATAACACTTAAATCACTAAAATAAATCTAATTGTTTATTTATAATTAATCAAAGATTTTAATATTTTAAAACTAAATTTATTGTTTTCATATTTATTTTTAATGATTATATATATGAAAGCATTAAAAATAATATAATATTCAAATTATAATATATATATATATTATATTATAGTTAATGATAAAAAATATTATATCTTATAGTTAATATTCAAATTATAATCATAAGATTGTGACATGTGTCACACATTGATTGGAGAAATAAATTTACTAAATTAAATTGAAATTATGATCTAATTAAAAATTAAGAATTAAAGTTAATCTTAGTGATCAAATTGATTAATTCCAAAATCTAGAGGATTTAATCTACAAATTTATTACTTGACTAGAATAATATATTTTCAAGTTAATGCTCAAATTAAGGCATTAGACAAATTAAAAATAGAATCATGATCAAATTAGATTAAATGAAAATCCAAGGAAACAAACCATATACAAATAGTGACCAAAATGGAAGAAAACAAAGTTGGGTGTTAGCACCGCGAATACGTAACTTTACAAGGAAATGTATCCTAATTATACTAACTCTTTTAGTTGCCACACCTCCATCAAATGTTAACGACATGTGACTATTTTGAACCTATTCAAATAGTATAGCGTTCATATTGATGTAAATTTGAAAATGATGGTTATTTTGCGATCCAGCTCATAATTATGTGATCATTTATGTAGTTTACCCTTTTTAAATATAATTTTTAAAACATCACAAATGAAGCTTCTAAAATTAAAAAGTTTATAATATATAATTAATACATAAAATTAGTGATTTAAAGTATATATATATATATATATATATATATATATATATATATATATATATATATTAACGTTTATTTTAAAAAAAAATAATAAAATAAATATTAATATTGATCGTGATTTTTTCTTCGAGTAAATTAATAAAAAATTAAAAACTTAAAATCACGA